ACGTAGGTCTATTACTTATATTTAATGTGTTGTTGCTATGACCAAGAGTAGGAGCATCAGGACTGAATAAACTCTCTTTCATTAAAATTATCACAGTCTTTCTGATTCTTCTAGTATTCAGTAACATGCCAAATCTTAGCTCTTGATATTTGCTGGACATAATACAAATCTAAAAAGGCTTTTGATGGAATTTTGGTTTGTCTAGGTCAAATAGGAGTCTGACAGAGCTATTTTTGATGCAGCATTGCCACCATGATCTCCTTTGATTTTTAATTATTTAATTATAATTTATATTGTCATAAAAGTACACATTGCTGCACAGAATGTGTGCTTTGCCACATTAGTAACAAAATCCCTAGCTTGATTTACTGTCTAAAACAAGGGTGGGCAATAATTTTTGATGAATCAATCCAAGAACCTGGTAAGCCAGGCATGTCCAAAGTCCGGCCCGCGGGCCAATTGCGGCCCATGTTCCGGTTTAATACGGCCCCACAGGTAATTTGGCAATATCTATCTTTTATGGCCCCCAATGAATCCATATGTATTGAGATGAATACATTGTAAAATCTCAGTTAATGTCAGTTGGTCTAAATCAGTTATAAATATATTTGGACACAACATGTATACTTGGTGTTATGTTCCTGTTCATATTTTTTTAACTTAAAAGTTGACAGACAACCTTTATTACCAATAATATGTAATGTACTTTACAATGTTCCTGACATATTTCAGCTTCTTGGATTTTTTTTTCATCTGGCCTTCAGATATGAAAGGCAGAGTGATTTAACACCTGTTTAGATTTGTCATCCATGTGACGAAATGAAAAGTATGCTGTTTGCAATAAACTTTGCATAAAATAGTTAATTTGCATTTAATTTTAATGGTTCAAAGAATGTCAGGCAAAATGGTCGGCCCTCACGCATGTTCACTTCATCAAATCTGGCCCTCTTTGAAAAAAGTTTGGACACCCCTGTGGTAAGCAGTCAAGGGCTGCACTCTTCCATGATACTAAATAGAGGAAATGCAAGGTCTAGAATGGAGTTGGGTACAGAAGGGAGCTCGGGGTAGGGAATTGGGGTGCAGAAGGGAATTGTGGCATCTGGGAGGAAGTTTGGTGAAGGAAGGGGTTGTGACCTGGGACAGAGAATTGGGATGCAGGAGGTGGGGGTGCAGGATCCAGGAGGCAATATGGGTATGGGTGCAGAAGAGGAGTCTGACCTGGAGGAGGCATTTATGAAGGGGTCTGGGAGCAGTGTTCCCTCTAAACTGTGTGGCAGCACAGCTTCACAGGTGATGAATCAGTCCTGCCCAGTCAATCTCCTCTGTGCAGGGAGCCCTCAGCCTCTGACTGGGCAGGGCTGATTCATCACCTGTGAAGTTGTGCTTAAGGTGCTGCATACCTTAGAGCAAGGTTTCCCAACTTATGGGTTGAGACCCAAATATGGATTGCCATTACATTTCAAAAGGGTCACTAAGTGTTTCCCCAAGTGGCTCTGCCCCTCCCCTTCCCCCCGTTTTTGAATTGCTTTGGGTCACCAAGTCTTCCTGAATTGTCAAAATGGGTCCTCATCTGGAAAAGTTTGGGAACCGCTGCCTTAGAGGGAACACTGGGAGGGGGTTGTGATCTGGGGCAGAGGTGCAGGATGGCGTGCAGAGGTTTGGGTTGTGACCAGGGGCAGTATTGGGGTACAGGACAATATTCCCTCTAATTTTTTCCATCCACGTGAAGAATACATTTTTATGTGCACTAATGTACGTGCGAATGTGCACCACCAACAGAAACAAAAGCCCAGCTGTGGGTACTGTGCTAATCAGCTGGGAAGCATTTGAATCTCTCCTGAATGGTAGCACAAGCGCCCAACTTATAGCGAACACTGGTGCAGGGTCTGTGAGGAGATATGGGTGCAGGAGCAGAGGTTCAGATAGTTAGAATTGTGACCTGGGGCAGGGCTGCAGAAGGAGAGGCAGAGGGTTGGAGGTGACAGGGGTTGGGTGCTAAGTGCAGGCTCTGGCCAGAAGGTGCTTACCTAGGCAGCTCCTTGCCAGCAACCCAGCAGGTCCCTCAGGCATGCCCCATGCCTTCCACACCCCTGCCCACTGCTCAAAGTGACCAACTGCAGGGGCCATGTGCTTCTCTGACCACCATGAGCCCCCTTCGGTGGGTACTTCACACACTGCCTGCATTGCAAACAAGGCCCAGGCAGCTTCCATTGGTTGATGTCTGGCCAATGGGAGTTGCAACATTTTGCTGGGGGCAGGGTCAGCTTGTGGTGCTCAAAGAAGCACCTGACCCCCGCAGTTAGCCACTTTGAACAGTGTGCAGGAGCAGGACAGGCAAGAATCCTGCCTAAGTCTGCCACTGGGTCACCAGGCCAGTTCTGGAAGCTTGGCAGGCTGTATGTGGCCCGCAGCTTGTATTTTGCCCAACCCTGGTCTAAATGCACTGGCTGATGCCATACAATATAGAATGAGTACAAATTGTGTTGAGATCATTGCAAATTTGTTTTTGTTTTTTTTTTAAGAAGAAGAGATTGGGGTATTCTGAGAGGGTGTGTCTACACAGCAAAGTTATTTTGGAATAATGGACGTTATTCTGAAATAACTGAGCATGTACACAGCAATTCTGTTATTTTGAAATTATTAATAACACAGCAATTCTGTTATTTTGAAAAAATTTTGAAATAACAGATGGCTTATCCTGATTTCTGTAAACCTCATTCTATTAAGAATAACGCCTTTTCTGAAATAGCTATTTCAAAATAAGGCATGTGTAGATGTTCCACTTCTGCTTTTTCGAAATAGCCCCTCACCAGGGCCATTCTAACTTAGCAAAAACAAATATTTTTATGTATTTTAAATTCCAATTAAAACATTTTTTTAAAATGTAGACATTCATCTGAAGTGTTTGCAATTCATATGTTGTTGAATCTGTGCATGAGAACCAAAATTGAAACTGACTATCAAAGTAAAAACTATTTTATTATCTTTATCTGAGCAATGTCATGAAAAGAGTGAAGAGTGTTAATTGTGAAAACTGAGTTAGATTATACAATTATTTCCATTTTAATAGCATAAAGTTTTAATAAGAGGTAAAGAAATTAGATTCTGGTGGAATTTTAACTTCACACTGTCTTTTTAAGGCTTGACTCTTCTTTCAAGCATTCTAATGCACAGTTACAGAAGAAACATTTAAATTACACTTTTACCTCCATTTCACACCAACTTGGTTTGATCCCACTTTTCATTATTGTACATAATTGACATTATAAACACTCAATCTGAAGCTATAAATCAGTAAAGTAATTACTGTGACATCATATTTCCTTCTCTATTCCTTTCTATTGTGTCTCCCTTTCTATTGTGTCTTTATTCCTTTCTATTGTGTCTCTCCCTTTTTGTTATGCATCATAAAAGTCAGTTACACATCTGAGTTGGGAAAGGCTGAAGTTTACTTTCCAAATTACACTTTTTTACCAGTACCAAGTCTGAAAAATGTGGATATTGCTGAATGCTGTATAGCTAAATCTCCTTATTGGATCTTTTTGGTTCTGAGGACCTGGAATACCATACAAGTCAGATAGCACCTTAATTATCTGTATTCCCTGCCTTCATTAGGTTTAATTATTTGCCTACAGTCTGCAGTTTGTACACTCAGCCTAAATGAGGATCTTATGCATCAGTATACTGCAAAGGATTTGCTTCCCAACCTGCATGTTTCTTCTTCATTCAGAGATGCCTTATGATTAATTTTTCTCTGCATCATTTGTATAATGATACATTATTTCTGCATTACAAGTGAAAACTTAGAGGGATTGTAAAATTCAGTGATTTCTCCCAAGGTCACATAATGAGCCAGTCAATTGAACTAGTATCTAAGTCTATTGGCTCCTAGTTTAAATCCTATTATTTATAATATTGTAAACCAAAAATATTGATTTACTATTAGTAAGTCCCATCCTACAGCACTTTGTAATGTGAATGCTAGCTATCAAGCAACAAGTCAAGGTGATCCGGTTTTTAATCAGGTATTTCCTCTTTCCAAGAAAAACCAAGAATAGTGTGGGCTACTGGGCTAAAACACATTTTTTAAGGTATGTGTATGTTTGATGCTACTGCTAGTACTTTTAAAGTTATTAAAATTACTAAATATAATTATTTTAATTTTGATATGTGTTGGAAATATAAAACTCCATTCGAATAATTTACTTATACAATATGCAGTTCTGTACACTGAGTTTTTAGAATATGTTTGCACAATTGTTAACACATGGTAGTCTTCTACTGTACTTGCAAGTTTGGGGCCTAACAAATGGGCTATCACTAAATTTTAAACCCAAGCTGTGCCTTTAGCTATGACTATTGCATGCTAACAACTTCCCATCATTGCAGTATTTACCAAGAAATAAATGTAATCTCTTTGGAAATGTAACTCTATTAAAACTAGGTATGGATAATGAGCAAAACTCTGTAGAAGTCCTCATTTAATCTAGTTCATTATGGACAAAAAAGGAAAAGCAGACTAATTTCCTTCATTGGATAAATTGAAAAGAATAGTAATTTTCACTATTTTTAGATGAATACCTAATGTTCTTCAAACTATATCTTAAATTCACATTTAACTACAATACAAACTAATTTTATTTTTTTTAAATAAACATTTTGGGGATTTTTGCAGGTTTGTGAACTTGGCAAGGATAACTTAAGTAATTCTATCCAAGGATAACTTTAAGTAACTACCAACCCTCAACTATTATGGTAAACTGCATTACTTAATGGTTTATTGCCAGGTTCCTTTCCTAGCCTGTAAACTTCCAAACTGCTTTTCGTACTTATAACGCGCTACTTGTGGCGATTCCGTATTCCAATGTCTTGTTTTAAGGAAACAAAAAGGGAAAAGACTCCCCCCTCCCCCTAGAGTTTAACTAACCCAGCCTATGACCCGACACAGCCAAAGTGTGTGTGTGGGGAGGGGGAGGAGTTGAAATCCTAACCAGTCTCTTCCTAGTTTAGATATTTCTGTTCCCTAACCTCGTTTCCTAACGCTGACCATGCCCCGCACGCTACATGAGGCGTGGTAGCTGCATTTTGCCACCAGTGTAGTCGATTAACCCGGACTTGGACAAAATAGAGACCCTCCCCCCGCAAGCTTTTGTGGGCGCGGTTGGGATCCGGTGCCCCTGGCGCATACAGAGCATGTGAGCTTCTCAAGCTCGCGCCAGCGAGACTGGAAACGGCAGCTGCGGCCCGCGTGCCCTGCAGCTCCCTACAGAGAAAGACGGCGCCTGACTCGGCGCCTTTTCCACAGCCAGGGCCCTCCCCGCGCCTGCGCAGCACCCGCGGCCGTGACCCTGCGCGAGGGGTGCGCCGCACCTTGCTGCGTGGCGAGAGCGTGCGGGGTAGAGCGCGAGGCGGCGGGTGGTGGCAGGGCCTGGTGTTGACAAAGGCGCTGGCTGGCTGAGTGAATGGGGTGGCAGGGCGCGGCGGGGATACCTCTGGAAACAGCAGGGAAGGGTGAGCAGAGCGGGGCTGAGAGGGCCGGAGCAGCAGCCGCCCGGCGTAGGTGGTGGCTGTGACGGGCGGGTGGAGGCCGTGGAAGGTTTTGCCTGGATCTGCAAGGGACTCCGAACAAGCCCAGGCCAACCTAGCTGCAATTGTTCCTCCCCGTTGGCCCTAGCTCGAGGGAAAGATTGGTCGCATGGTGGCCTGTTGATCTGCCTGTAGTCCCCACACCCCACCAGTAGAGGAAGGCAGCTTTCTGTCAGAATCCTGCTTCTCTGCTGCTGGTGCCACCCTGCAAAGGCGCATTGGGAGCTGGTTTTAGGAGGCTACTCAGGCTGCCTCTGAGACAGTTTCCTCGCCATTGGGCCTACTCCCCCCCCCCCCTCCTCAGTACTGAGGCTGGTCAGATTGGTGTGTGGTATAGTTGGGGGACTGGGTACACTTTCTGCTAGAGGCAGCCCTGCACTCTCCCTGCCTGCAGAATGCCACAGCTAAGATCTCGGAAGGTAGAGTTAAGTAGGGAGATACTAACTACTCCCATGGGGCCCTCTCCACAACCTGTGGATGTAGGGATGGGAGCCCCCTCTGGGGACTACTCTGTGGTCAAGAGAAACCCTCAGCGGGAGGCAAAGAGAAAAGCAATGCATTCCTTATCCTGCTCGTCATCACCTAACCTGTTCTCCAGGGTCCCATATGAGCAGCTCATGCTCCCGGCAGTAGTACCCGTGGGGTTGGAGGAGCAAGATGGGACTAATATGAGGCTTCTAGGGAAAAGAAAGGAAGGAAGACGAGGCCGTAGGGGAAGAGGTGGTGCTGCTGCTGGAAGCAAAAGAGAAGAAGCTTTACAGGTCTCAGACCAAGCTGCAGTTAAAATCTGGGAGAAGATGATGTTTCCAGTAGCCCCAGTAGGGAGATATTGGGAAAAGGCTATCGGTAGAATGAAAGGACAGGAATTGCAGCAGTCTTTCTCTGGAACTAGATTGGAGGGAAAATTGGCAACAGAGATTGAGGGAAAACTAACAAGTAGCTCCTTAGCATATTTGGGGTCCCAAGAAGGATTAGGGAGCCCAGGGGAAAAGAGCAGACATTCCTTAATGGAACTGAAACTACAGATTCCATGTCCCAAGGAAGAACTGATGATCCCAGAGAGGAGTAGCAGATGCACCCTGACGGATCCAGAAGTGCTGGGACCTGGGAAAGATGCAGGGAACCCAGAGGAAAAGGGTAAATATTCCTTGATGCAAATCCCAGACTCTGAGAAGGAAGCAGTGAGCTTGAGTGGGAGGTTCCAATACACTTTAATAGAACTTGGGCTTCAGAAGAAAGTGGGTAGACAGGGAAAAAGGGGCTAGCACTCAATTTTAGAACCAGGAGTGCTGAGGCCCAAGGAGGGAGAAGACAGCCCGGTGAAAAGGGGCAGATATTTGTTGGCAGGGACAGGGTCTTGGGGAAAAGCAGGGGAAAAGAGGAACAGGCGTGCCTTATCTGTCCCAGGATCTGAGGAGAAATTAGGGAGCCCAGAGAAGAGGGACAGATGTTTTTTAATAGAAGTGGGAGTGGCAGGGCCTCTTGATGAAAAAAGGAGTCTTGGGAAAAGGGGCAAACAGTCTTTGGCGGAACTGAAGCTAAACAGTTCAGAGAAAATGGCTGGGCACTCCTTGTCAGTACTACAGCCACAGGGCCTAAGTCTCCAAGAAAAAACTGTAAGCCCAGGAAACAGGCTCAAATGTTCCTTGCAACTACAAAGCTCAGGCCCCCAGAAAGAAGTAGAAATCTTGGGGAAGAGAGGTAAGCCCTCTTGCACCACTGAGGAATTACACCTCCAGAGCTCAGGTCTCCAGGAGAGTACAAGTAGCTCAAGGATAAGTTCTGTGGTGGCATTGCAGTCACAGAGTCTAGGTAGCTGTGATGGAGCAACTAGTCCAGGAAGGAGAGTCAGGAGCTCCTCTGTGGAGCTATGGCTACCAGGGCCTCAGGAGGAAGCAGGGACTTGTGGGAAAACAGGCAGGACTGACTTGGAGGGAACAGGAACCTCAGAACACAGGAGGAGGAGGAGGAGCTCCTCAGCAGATGAAAGAGTAAAGATGGTAACGCGGGCTGCTTCTCAGTCAAGGGAGATGTGTGGGAAAGATTATGAAGACCAGTGCTGGGTTTGTGCTGCTGGAAATACAGGAAGGAGGAGACAAGGGAAGATGGAACAGCAACAAGTTGTAGGGCAGAAAGTGGGTTCCACCCTCACTGGTGATCTGTTTATTAATAGACTAGAGGAGAGACAGAAAAATGGAAAGGCAGAAGCTGTGCTTTCAGCTGAACTAAAATTAAAGATCAGAGAGCCTAGTAAGATCTTATTCTGTATCTGCCTGTATATTTATATATTGCTGTCTTACATCCATATCCCTTTACTCCTCCTGCTTATACTTTGCTGTCTTTTTTGTCGCCCTTCTGGTTTGTAGGATGCTGTCCCAATTCCTTTAAATGTTCATCTTTACTGCCTCTTTTTTCAGATACCATTCAGAGTAATATCCCACTAGCAACAGAAACAAAAAATGCACTTGGGAGTGTTTTTTGGCATTACTAATTTTTTTAAGTGGTACAGCTTGAACTAGGAAGACTTTTAAAAATGTACAAATTTGTAAATCTTGCTGAAATACATAAAGTGAAATCCTCATAAGAGGGAGAGATTGTAAACACCTATGACATTAAATTGGGAAGGAATTTCTTTCCAATGAATGAGAAACTTGGTCAGGTCTCTCTGCCCCTAAATATGTGGGTTAGGAATTAGGCACATTCTTGTTCCCTCTAATTTCTTGATGGAAATATGAACTTTTGTTGTCTCTTTGTTGAAGATAATTTTATGTATTTGAGCCCTTTTTCAGATAGGCTTAATTTATTGCAGTGGGATAAATTGAAGTACAGAAATCGTGGCCTGTATTGAGAATTTAAAATTTAATTAAGTGTCTGTCTTTACTGTTTTGCAACTTTTTTTTATTTGCTGACCCCTAAAATTTTAAAATGGAAGTGGGAACCTCTTCAGAAATGTTAGACATAATCTGTAGTTCCACTAGAGATCCATGGATCACAGGCTGAAAACCACTGTTTTAGTTTAATCATTTTGATACATTATGTGAAGTGTTATTAACTTTCTCACTGCATTTTACCAATATGTTTTGAAATTTTCAATAAAATGTTCACAAATACAATTTTTTAGATATAATGAATATTTCCTGTTAAAAGAACAGTAATTTGCTTAACATAATAAAGAATTTGTGTTTCTGGTTCTTCTTGAACAGGGACTATAGTTCTAAATATTCATTAAAAATTTTGAATTTACTTTTTTTGGGGTGATTTTGAATACTCTATACTTTCTGAATATATTTATTTCAACACAAAATATTTCAGTGAAAGGTTTTACCTAAAATTTAAACATGGGAATAGTATCTAAAATTATTTGCAAAAAATATTTTAGATTGATTAGCCAGTTGGAATATGTTTGAAAGAACTGATAGTAACTTCAGATATTGTTCGTACAACCTTCTACAGTTCTGTATAGACTTTATATAACAGATATGTCGAGACAGTTAATATGCTATTTATTTTTTGTATGTAAAATTGTTAGAATGTTACAACTACTATTCACATCTATAATTTTTGTTTAATAGATAATGGTTTTGAAGGACCATTTTTGCAGTTTTTTTCTAAAAAGTCGGTTCAGCTTTTTTCTTAAAGCACTTGTAATAGTGTGTGAAACTGACTGTGATTCTTCTTCTTTTTTTTTAATCAGCAAAGAAAAAGATAATAGAAGTTAAGGAAGACTCAGATGCACAGGATGGAAAGCAGCTAGAGACTGATCTAAGTATATCAAAAGATTGTCACAAAAAGAAACCACTAGTAGCTTACTCTGAGTCTCTTCGGGTAGCTAAGTCAGATGGGACTCAGAGCAAGGTAACAGTATGCCAGAGTTTAACAAGGGGATCTGCAGTACAATGTAACAAAAGAAGAAATAGAATCACCAAGATCAGGCGTTTACAGGATTTGAATATAAAAGTCACTGAAAATGAAGCAACAAAGAACGTAGAGTATAAAGATGAAAAATGCAGAGAAATACCAAATTATCATAATTGCTTGCCATCCACAGTAGAAAAGAATCCAGTTGTGAAATTATATAACTGTTGTTACCTGAATACATTTGTAAAATCTTCAGTTGATGCAACCACCAGCAGTTACAAAATTGGTGGTGGATTCTTGCATGTAGCTCAGGGTGAGAGAGAGACTTTTTGTCCTAACAGTGTTATGGGACAGAGTGATATGAACAGCAAGCTTAATGTAATGCAAATTGAGAAATTGCCCACACAGGAAAGTATATCATTTGACAAAGAAGGAATATGCCAAAATAGAAGAAGCTGTCAAAATGAGAACAGTAAATGCCCGAGGGAAAGAAAGTGGAGTATTGATAGAAAGCCCAGGAAAAGGATGAAACTTTCTGAAAAATCAATCCGGAATGTGTTCCCAGTTATAGACAACAAACATTGTGAATATGAGTTACGTACGGAAGATAAAACTGCCAAAACAGACACTTTAGCAGTTGTAGAGTTCAGTAGCAATGAAACTACTTCTTTATTTGATCAAAAATCAAATTCCCATCTAGAACAAAATTCTCAAGCACAAAATGGTTGTATTGCCTCAGATAATAGAAAACTGTACTTGAAACCTGGTTCAAGAGTAAATAGTTTTGAGAAGAGACTTGAGCTATTGGATTTAGCAAAAGGAGAAAGGGATGTTTTTGATTCAGAAAGCATAGAACAAGAAGACTGCTCTAATACCTCAAATAGTCCAGAATTGGTTACTGTGGTCAATGACAACATTTCTGATTATTGCAATGATGCCAGCTGCCAAAAGAGAGAGAGAATAGTGTCAGATGAAAAATTGATGAGTAATGTTGATAAATTACAGTTATGCAGCTGTCAAAGAATAGTACCAATGTCTGGTAAAAACGTTTGGCCTCGTGAATCATGTGCTAGGACTTCTGAATGGTTTAATAAACATCATGTGTCTATCTTGGAAGGAAAAACTTCAACTTCTGATTCTCAGGAATGCTCATCTCAAAACAATACTGAAGCTGTAAGAGATATGGTTTTAACTGATAACTCTAGGCAGTTAGATCTGTGTATCTCAGATGCAGAAAGTATAAACAAATCTTCATGTAAAACAATGGATTCTAACATTGAATGTCAGACTTCTGTTAGAACACCGGAGTCCTCTTTATTGGATATTTACGGGACTTTGAGAGTCACCTGTAATGAAAATCTAAAGTCATTAGTGGATACTAGTCCTATGGCTTCCAACTCTGAAAGTTTCCAGAAAGCTCAGGTGACCTTAAATTTGGAAGTAAAACAAAAACGAGATGATAAAAACAAAGGAGGTTTAACCAAAAAAAATCTGATGATGGCTCTCCAGGATGGTATATCTAAAGATGACAGTGCAAGTAAAATGATTGTAAATCATAAGACATCAATGAAAAAAACAGGTGCAGTTCCAAACTTAATTAAAATGTTAAACACAGGAAATCTGTCAAATTTCAAAATTCCTTTACGCAAAAATAAAACTGAATCAAGGAAAGTGGAATCTGCTAGACCATTAGATAAAGAAACATACAGTCCTCTGGAACGCCTTCACAATTCTGCTGCTGCTTCAGCAAGTCAGAGCAGAGTCAAGGATAATTCCTCTATGGTAGTTTCAGAGCAGCAGTCTGTCTCTGAAGAGACTGGTATCTCTTTAAACCCCTTAATGGAAAATATTGACCAAATGAGAAATAAAGACTTTGGCAGTTGTCGTTCTGAAAGTCTTTCAAATGAAATAAATATACTTTCTGGAGGTGTTTCTATACATCAGTGTGCTTTCCTTGAGGGAAAATTGGAATCCTCTGTTCTTAAGGACATTACTGACTCATCTGGTACTGCGCATGAAGAGAAAAGCTTCACACAAGATTATTCTAGTGAAACAGTTGACCATTCTGTTTCATCAGAAATGCATGATGATGATGATAATAAAAAGAACTCAAAACTGAGTCATGCACAGAATATAATCAAAAACTTTCCAGATGTTCTTAAGGCTTATGAAGATGATATTCTTGTGATTGATGTAATTCAGGATGACCCTGACCTTTTTGGAACCACTGATGAAGGGGAGCTTGCATTCACTATGAACCATGCAACTAAAAAGCACTGCAATATTAGTACTACCTCAGAGGAAAAACAGGATGTTAAGCCAAAATGTCTTGTCCTTCCAGAAACTAAGGATTCAAGAGATTACTTTAGGTATGCATCTCATTATTTTATCTTCATAAAATATTTGTAAAACTGAGTACATTGAGACATCATCTTAGTTTAATCCAAGTATTCAGATTTCCCAAAAAATGCTGTAGATATGTACATTTAGTAGAGTGAGCTGTATGTTCACAGATATACATACAATGTGAACAGAGAATTTCAGCCCAAGTGGACTTTGGGAAATTTAAACATTTCTTGGCAAAATTCTGAATCCAAATACAGTGTTTCATTACTGCTTGAGAGCTAGAAAGTAAAACTGATTATAAACCAAAATAACTGAATTCCTCAGGCTGAGTGATAAAAAAAATGCTGGAAAGTAAATTAATTATTTAAAATTACTTTAAAGTAAGATATTGAAATAAGCTGTAACAGTGTCTATATAAATTATCTTGTCAATGTCCCCTTAATGGTAACTTATAGTTGTACTATGTGTGACAAGATCAGAGCAGAAAGTTACAAAAAGTAGAGGAAGGGAGGTATATAAACCTCAGACTGAGGAGATCTCTGTTTGCAGGTAACAGAGAGGGGCTGGTCTAAAACCAGCAGGGGCAATCAAGGACAGTTGAACACCTGGGGCTAATTGACCAGGCCTGCAGAGTGAAGCCAGCTTGGGCTGATTAGGTTACCTGCGGTAAATTAGGGAAACCAGTTGAGACTGGCTATAAAAGGAGCTTGCCTGCAGTTGGTGGTGTGTGTGTGTGTGTGTGTGTGTAGCTGAGAGGACAGAGGAAAGCTCTGCTGAGAGTAAGAGGAAAACACAAGTAGACACTAAGAGGATGAACCAGAGAAAAGGAAGGTGTGAGGAAGTAGTCCAGAGGTCTTGGCACTGTCTTTTAGCAGGTGTCAGGGGTCTCACATAGGCAGCTGCTCTTACAGGGCCCTGGGCTGGAACCTAGAGTACAGGGTGGACCCATGTTTCCCCCAATGCCTGCTTCCCCATTTCCACTCAGGGAAAAGACTGTGGAGTTTATTCTCCCCTTATACGCTGGCCCATGATGAAAACAGCTCAACAAACAGCAAACTAATGCCCTAAGTGTGGTGCCTAAAATTGAGCACTGCTTGTGAGCCTCCGAAGCAAGCAAATCTGTCTGAAAGCACAGGACTCATTGAATTTAAGTAGGAGCTTTATTGCATATGATTTTTCAAAATATATATAACTTTTTCTGCAGCTATGACTTCTTTTGTTATTTGCATGCCCATCAGTAAGCAATTTTAATTATCCAAATAGTAACACAACTTTTTTCTCGCTGAATAGTTTTTAAAACTATCCTTTTCTACCAGGTTTTAGTCAGCGTTTTTATCAGTCTTGCATTGTGGTGTTTAAGCTACACATTGAGATTGTAGTAGGAAATGGTAGAGGGAAAGCAAAATTAAATGTACTGGCAAGCTTCTATAAGTAGCAGCATATTGTGTGTGCACGATGTAGTAGTTGATCAGCCCCAGAGCCTTAAAGCATATCTAATAAATTTCTCTAAACCCAAAATCTTTTTATAGTGGCTTGATACACTAGCTCAGGGATGGCCAACCTGCGGCTTGCGAGCTGCATGCGACTCTTCCCTCCTATAAGTGTGGCTCGTGAAGCCTCCCCTGTGACTCACGAAGCTGCCCCTGTGCCCCTAGAAATGGCCCCAGTTTCCTATGCTCACCGGTAGGGGAGCAGTCCGGTGCGGCGATTTAAAATGGCATTGCCAAGATGGCAGTGGCCGATGGAAGCCTGATGTGGCCAAAAAGCCTAGTCTCTTAAAGGGACGGCTCAACAAAAATTGCTCAGAAAAATAAAATTCTGGTGCGGCTCTTCAGTTTTTCCGCCACTGTTTCGGCTCGCTTCATTTAATGGGTTGGCCACCCCTGTACTAGCTGTTGTTCAGAATTGGTTGTCTTATAAGAAAAGTATAAAACCTGCATAGAGGTGTATAGTACCTGATTTTCTCCAAAGACCTGAAGATAAGTGCCTTCTCTTCCAATATTTATTTTCATCCTCTTTGGTGAATGCTACCTGCAATCTTTACCCCTTTTCAGATTAATACTACAGCTAACATTTTAAATTATTTTTTTTAATATTACCAATTTCTTACACTGAAATCCTCCTTGTTAGTTGTCTCCCTCTCCCTTTTCTAAAAGTATGGTGTAAAAAGGAGGAATGTGGGAAGTTTTCTTAGGATGGTGTTGAAATGTGTGAATTAAATATCCATTTTAAAATTTAATTTTAATTGTATATCTTGGAATCTACAGTAAAACTGCAGTTGTCCGGCACTCCCAATAGTCCAGCACCAACTGGAACCCGGAAGTGCTCCAGCCAGCCGGACAATTGGAGCCTGCTCCACACCGCTTCCTCAAGTCCGCTGCTGCTGCTGTTGAAACTGACAGCTGCGGACCTGGGGAAGTGGTGCAGAGTAGAGCAGGTGGGGTGCTGCCAGGTTGGTCCCCCAGCTCTGCCTTTTGCCCCCCTGCTTGGCGCCCGGCAGCACCCCAACGGCTCTGCCCCATGGCTTCCCCAAGTCCACCACTGCTTAAACTGACCAGCGACGGACTTGGGGAAGCCCTGGGGCAGAGCAGCTGGAGTGCTGCCAGGTTGGTCCTGCAGCGCCGCCCCTCACCAGCATCTGGGTTGCCCCATGCTGTAGATATGTACATTTAGTAGAGTGAGCTGTATGTTCACAGATATACATACAATGTGAACAGAGAATTTCAGCCCAAGTGGACTTTGGGAAATTTAAACATTTCTTGGCAAAATTCTGAATCCAAATACAGTGTTTCATTACTGCTTGAGAGCTAGAAAGTAAAACTGATTATAAACCAAAATAACTGAATTCCTCAGGCTGAGTGATAAAAAAAATGCTGGAAAGTAAATTAATTATTTAAAATTACTTTAAAGTAAGATATTGAAATAAGCTGTAACAGTGTCTATATAAATTATCTTGTCAATGTCCCCTTAATGGTAACTTATAGTTGTACTATGTGTGACAAGATCAGAGCAGAAAGTTACAAAAAGTAGAGGAAGGGAGGTATATAAACCTCAGACTGAGGAGATCTCTGTTTGCAGGTAACAGAGAGGGGCTGGTCTAAAACCAGCAGGGGCAATCAAGGACAGTTGAACACCTGGGGCTAATTGACCAGGCCTGCAGAGTGAAGCCAGCTTGGGCTGATTAGGTTACCTGCGGTAAATTAGGGAAACCAGTTGAGACTGGCTATAAAAGGAGCTTGCCTGCAGTTGGTGGTGTGTGTGTGTGTGTGTGTGTGTAGCTGAGAGGACAGAGGAAAGCTCTGCTGAGAGTAAGAGGAAAACACAAGTAGACACTAAGAGGATGAACCAGAGAAAAGGAAGGTGTGAGGAAGTAGTCCAGAGGTCTTGGCACTGTCTTTTAGCAGGTGTCAGGGGTCTCACATAGGCAGCTGCTCTTACAGGGCCCTGGGCTGGAACCTAGAGTACAGGGTGGACCCATGTTTCCCCCAATGCCTGCTTCCCCATTTCCACTCAGGGAAAAGACTGTGGAGTTTATTCTCCCCTTATACGCTGGCCCATGATGAAAACAGCTCAACAAACAGCAAACTAATGCCCTAAGTGTGGTGCCTAAAATTGAGCACTGCTTGTGAGCCTCCGAAGCAAGCAAATCTGTCTGAAAGCACAGGACTCATTGAATTTAAGTAGGAGCTTTATTGCATATGATTTTTCAAAATATATATAACTTTTTCTGCAGCTATGACTTCTTTTGTTATTTGCATGCCCATCAGTAAGCAATTTTAATTATCCAAATAGTAACACAACTTTTTTCTCGCTGAATAGTTTTTAAAACTATCCTTTTCTACCAGGTTTTAGTCAGCGTTTTTATCAGTCTTGCATTGTGGTGTTTAAGCTACACATTGAGATTGTAGTAGGAAATGGTAGAGGGAAAGCAAAATTAAATGTACTGGCAAGCTTCTATAAGTAGCAGCATATTGTGTGTGCACGATGTAGTAGTTGATCAGCCCCAGAGCCTTAAAGCATATCTAATAAATTTCTCTAAACCCAAAATCTTTTTATAGTGGCTTGATAAAATAGCTCAGGGATGGCCAACCTGCGGCTTGCGAAGTGTGGCTCGTGAAGCCTCCCCTGTGGCTCACGAAGCTGCCCCTGTGCCCCTAGAAATGGCCCCAGTTTCCTATGCTCACCGGTAGGGGAGCAGTCCGGTGCGGCGATTTAAAATGGCATTGCCAAGATGGCAGTGGCCGATGGAAGCCTGATGTGGCCAAAAAGCCTAGTCTCTTAAAGGGACGGCTCAACAAAAATTGCTCAGAAAAATAAAATTCTGGTGCGGCTCTTCAGTTTTTCCGCCACTGTTTCGGCTCGCTTCATTTAATGGGTTGGCCACCCCTGTACTAGCTGTTGTTCAGAATTGGTTGTCTTATAAGAAAAGTATAAAACCTGCATAGAGGTGTATAGTACCTGATTTTCTCCAAAGACCTGAAGATAAGTGCCTTCTCTTCCAATATTTATTTTCATCCTCTTTGGTGAATGCTACCTGCAATCTTTACCCCTTTTCAGATTAATACTACAGCTAACATTTTAAATTATTTTTTTTAATATTACCAATTTCTTACACTGAAATCCTCCTTGTTAGTTGTCTCCCTCTCCCTTTTCTAAAAGTATGGTGTAAAAAGGAGGAATGTGGGAAGTTTTCTTAGGATGGTGTTGAAATGTGTGAATTAAATATCCATTTTAAAATTTAATTTTAATTGTATATCTTGGAATCTACAGTAAAACTGCAGTTGTCCGGCACTCCCAATAGTCCAGCACCAACTGGAACCCGGAAGTGCTCCAGCCAGCCGGACAATTGGAGCCTGCTCCACACCGCTTCCTCAAGTCCGCTGCTGCTGCTGTTGAAACTGACAGCTGCGGACCTGGGGAAGTGGTGCAGAGTAGAGCAGGTGGGGTGCTGCCAGGTTGGTCCCCCAGCTCTGCCTTTTGCCCCCCTGCTTGGCGCCCGGCAGCACCCCAACGGCTCTGCCCCATGGCTTCCCCAAGTCCACCACTGCTTAAACTGACCAGCGACGGACTTGGGGAAGCCCTGGGGCAGAGCAGCTGGAGTGCTGCCAGGTTGGTCCTGCAGCGCCGCCCCTCACCAGCATCTGGTTTGCCCCACGCCGTTCCCCGCCCTCTCCCTTCCCCCCCCCCACGATACTCCGGCATCTCCGATAATCCGGCACCCCCTGGGTCCCAAAGGTGCCAGATTATCAGAAGTCTGCTGTAACTTTTAAGAAAGTAATCTAGCAGCAGCAGCAAAAAACAAACCAAAAAACCTCAAGAAAAACCAACAAAAAAACAAAAAAAAAACCCCAATGACCTTTAGGAAAGTTTCTTATCTCATGCAGATAAATGTTAGTCTCAGGGTTTGATCGATTAGTACTCCCAAGAAGGTGACATTATTATTCATAGAAAGTCTTCCATTCCCAGAAGAACGTGTAAATCAGATTGTCCATGTCACAGCAGTATTTCTCACATGTGCTTTAAGTACAGCCTGGAGTAAATATGTCTAAGGATCCGTTCCTATACCCATTTAATCCTTGTCATCTTTACTGAGGGGCATCAAGGGTACCAGTTAATGGTGTGTTTCATGATACAAACATGTTGCTAGGAGTCGACTGGAGATCATATTGTTTCATGTAGATAATTGGGATGTCAGATAGTAATACTGAAATCCTGTCAGACTGAAATTCTGTGTAAAGCCTACTTTGCCCATTACTAAACTCCTGAGACATCCAGTCCTCCTGGGTTTTCATATGCTCATATTCAAGAGTGATAGCTTCAGGTGACTGTTGTAGTTTGTGGTCCCAGTTATCACATGCTCATAATCAGGGGCAGGGCCGGCTTGAGCAATTCCTGCGCCCCAGGCAGCAGGCGCGTGATGCCTGCGCGGCTCCTCTCTGGGCGCATGCACGGCCCCACCCTCCAATGCACTGCACCCCTTAGAGCTGCCACCAGTTAAGGAGCCCTGTAAAGCTCATGGCATACTGAAGCCCCACCAAGGAGGAGTTAAGCTCAAAGAGCTCAATGGAGCTTAGAGAACATTCAAACATATGGGCTGTGTCTAGACTGCATCCCTTTTCCGTAAAAGGGATGCAAATTAGACACATCGCAATTGCAAATGAAGCGGGGATTTAAATCATTTGCATAAACATGGCTTCATTTGCATAAACATGGCTGCCACTTTTTTCCGGCTCGGAGCTTTGCCGGAAAAAAGCGCCAGTCTAGACGCGGATCTTTCGGAAAATATAGCCTTTTCCAAAAGATCCCTTATTCCTCTTAAAATAAGGAATAAGGGATCTTTCGGAAAAGGCTTTATTTCCGAAAGCTTAACTTCTGAGCTTAACTTCTCCTTGGTGGGGCTTCAGTATGCCATGAGCTTTACGGGGCTCCTTAATTTGAGGAAAAAAATAATTGTTATTATCGCCCAAATGACACCCTCTTTTGGCATCAAAATGAGACTTGACTGACAGTATATTGTAAGATCTGTGGTTTTTTTCCCCTCTCCCTACGTACAGGAGGAATGAAATTAAATGGTGACATTTTTAACTATCACTAGGTTATGAGTTAATACCTTAAGGAAAGAACAAATACTAGATCTATTCTCAATCTCTATTCTTGGTCTCTACCTGAATGACTCTTTGATGTTTGAAGGAGAAAAAAATTGTTTATTTTTAATGTTAAACAAAATAAAACAAACCCCCTCTACATTTGAGAACTTTTTTATTTTAAAATATCTGAAATACACCAGTTCTTGGTGTGTATATAGCTGAAAATACCTTTTAGAAGGTGGTGGTAAATGCTAATATGATTCAAAGCTAGCTAGCTCTCTAGTGATTTAGATCACAGGACTGGTCAAAACATACCAGTGCTTAAAAGCTGGAGGAGGCAGCTTTAAGGGTTTATCCTTTCACATTTTTTATCTCTGATAAGTTCTAGGACATAAAAGCCAGATTTGCTTTGCTGTTATGAGTTTAACCATTGCATTCTCTAGTTTCAGTCACGGTGATGATTTAAGTTGATAAAATGCACTGTGCCCTCAGTCTTTCCTATTTTGTTTTTTTAAGAATGACTGAGTCAGATTCTTGAATGCACGGATGATAAGCAAAACAGTCTTGTTTAGACCTGACTAGCAAAGCAGTCTGTATTGATTTGTATAGATCTCCCCAAAATAGCTTATTTGCATGTAAGGCAAACCTGGGCAAGATATGCCCCCCGGGCTGCATGTATCCTGCAGACGCAGCAGGGGAAGCCTCAAGCAGGTTCCCTGTCCAACCCACGTGCTGCTGAGAAGTGTGTGCTGCAGGGCTCTGTTTGAACAGTTGCAAACCCAGGCCTGGGAGGAGAAGAGATTTCACGCCCTACCCCTGCCCTCAGCTATCAACAGGCAGCTTGTGAAACATCCTCCCTTCATGATCATAGCTATTCAAAGATTACATGGCCCCTGCTATGGGTGTGGGGGTAGGGCAGGCAGCGAGTCTGCCTGAGAAGGCTGCTGGCCGGGAATCATGCAGGTAAGTCTCCGGGCCAGAGCCTGCCTCTGGCACCCCAACCCTCTGTTCCCTTCCTGCACCCATATCCTCTCCTGGATCCTGTGCCCCAATCCTCTGCCCCAGATCACAACCCAAACCCTTCAGCTCCTCCACTCTAGTCCCCTGCCCCAGGTCACAACCCACTCCTCCCCTAGGTCACAGCCCAAACACCTGCACCACGGTCCTTTGCCCCTGGTCACAACCACCTCCTTCACCCAAACTCCCTCCCAGACCCTGCACCCTCTTCTGCACCCCATTCCTTTACCGCAAGCTCCCTTCTGTACCCAAACTCCATCCCAGACCCTACAGCTCCTCCGTTAATCTCATTGAAGAGTGTGGCCCTTGACCATTTTCCAAATTCTTGGAGTGGCCCTCCATCAAAAATTATTGCCCACCTGGTCAAAGGCATCAACAAGAGCTTCTGTACTTAAACAGTAAAGTGTGAAAATATTTCCAAATTCAGTCTTTGACAGTGAACTCTCTTTTGATATCTAGAGTTGCAAGCTCACAGTTGTGGTTGATAATGTGAAAAGTTTTTTGTCTAAAGTTGGCCTGCAGTATACCATTTGAACAGCCCATTTTTACTATAATATCTAAATTGAAGATTATCATGTTTGACTGGAGTGATTCTAATTCCTAGAACTATCACAGCTGATAGTCTTTCTGTGATACTATCAGCTGTTCTATATTTCAAATGGGCTACATCAGCAAAAAGACTGTTTCCCAATCTTGCGTGAATCTGATATACATAGGCTTATTACTCCAGATTTTGACCTATGAATGGATCATCAGCAAATACAGAATAAACCTCAATTTCTGAGATGAACCTCAGTTGTTTCTATAAAGTCTTTCACACTGTTTACTTATTTTAAGATACTTTGAGCCAAGGTTTAGGGCTGTATTTAGCCTGACAGTTGCAAAGTATTTCAGAATCTCTAAAAATAAAATATTTGGCAGGTAAGCAGTGATAACCAGGTGGCAAACTTCTGGATCTCCTGACATTAATTTTAAAAGCAGTTGTTAAGAATTGTGAACAAAATAACACATTCTTATCCTTTGCATTTCATATGAGTATCAAAGCTGTCACATACATGTTGTGGGGAGAAACACTGCCTGTTATCAGAGGGTTCCTTATAATTTCTGCAAAGTAAACATTTTGTTTGACATGAAACTCACGATTAATTAACTTTCAATGGTTTTTGTCACTGAGATACTTGTATTCAAATCAAGTGTCTATATACATCAACTTATGTATAATGCAAAACCTTGTACTCTCTTTGCTAAATTTCCACAGTGTGGCTCATTTATAACGTTTCTATTCCTACCTGCCCCCTTTGATCATGTTGCTGAGATTGGCAGTTCATTACTGCTGTGCTGTGGTGTTGCTTAGTATGCCCCCAAGTCTCCCCTGTTGTCTTATACAGTTTCTTGCCTGCTGACTGTTTGCACTTTCAAGATAACACTTGTATTTGTTCATGGTTTCTGGGAAGTAGGACTTTTTCAGACTCTACCCATTTTTAAGCCAAAATGTTTGTTAAATACAGTATTCTTCCTAGCCTAAATAGTTGTGTAGTGTTGCCATAATGGGTTTCACTACAGAAGCGGGTGACGTCTACATAAATTAGTAACATTTTCTATTAAATACTGTTTGGGACTAATCTGGAAGGAATGTGTTAAAAATAAATATTTTGAAATTGGTGAGCCAGTTAACTAACATATTATTTGCAAATCTTTCCCATTTTCTGTAACTGCTGGGTTTGCCTGACCTTTGATGTTAAAGATTCCCCCGACAATATTTTAGGAAAAGGTGTGATGAGGACAAAAAACAAAATTGAAGAACTTTGGTAATATCAATATTGTAACTATATTTATAATAAAACAATTGTAAATGTGTTTATAAAAGGTTTTTTTTCAGAGAGATCAATATATGAGTATAGAAAAAAACAACTAGTGGATTTATTGTGCTGTAAACATATTCCGTCCATAGCTGAAAGCATTTACTGATGAACTGGAAAGCTTACATTTTATGTATTTAGGTTAGATTAGTCCTCCTCTTTGATACAGATTTTAAAAGTATTTTTTGTTTAAAACAGAGAAAATCCTAACCAAAAATCTGGAATATTGAAATCTGTCAGAGATTCATATGATGCCCTGCTAATAGGTAAGAATGGAGATTTTTAGAATGTGTAATTAGAGGGAGAACTGAGATATAGCTATCCGTTTTTGCTTCTCTATTACTATAATATTTATTTTGAAGAGCTTCTCAAGCTTTCATATTGAAATGATTTTTTAAAAAATTCACATTTAAAACTGTCTGAGTTCTTAAATTTCATGGCTATAACCATCTTTAGTGAGAACAGACATTTTGTGGCTTTGTATTGGAGACTTCATAGTAATGTGTTCCATTTTTTCAGCTAATGAAATTCAAAAACATTCCTCGAGTGGAAGCTGTCCTTTAGAAGGTATAACTGAGGAGTCTGTGGAGGATGGGCAGCTGACTGAATCGGATGAACTCATAAAGGATTGTCACGTAAATGAGAAGGTACTCCCAAACTAACGTAGGCAGGAATTATGATAGGATTTTCTGTGTAGACTAATTGCTAATTGGGTTTCATACTCATGTTACACTTTAATTTTATGTGATAAAGAGTATAGCTGCTTTTCTAAAGAGGTTTTTATTGATTACTTTAATATACGCTCTAAACTAGGTCAGAGTCTTATTTCACAAACTTTTGTTTTGTTTCTGACACTTGGGTTTGAAATTTGAACTTGGATAAGACATTACAATATCAGTTACTGTAACATTCATGTTTTACCAATAATATAAATCATGTTATACTGCAGTGTTTGTGTGTATTAGTATTAGAATATGTCCATTAAGCCTTTTCTGTGTATAACTTAGCCATCAAAAAGCAAGGAAATCAAAAGTTATGGCATCAAATGTTCTCCCCCTTGCATTCTGTTTTGGACCTGCCAAGGAAAGAAAAAAGCATTGTCCCCATAAGAATTGCTCAGTACCCTTCCTACTGGACTTGAGAAGGGGAAGAAGGTGGCACTGCGGCTGATAGGCTGATTGGCTCCTAAGAACCTATATGGCATCTCTTCTGACACAACCAAACAGGAAAGTTTATAAGCCCTTACTCCTGCCCAAGGGGACCATTCTACACAGGGAAGAAACATTTTCTAACCATTGGAATTAGATTAGGACTGAGTTTGTTGGGTTTTATGGGCTCATGCTAATTGCATTTTTGAGATTAGGAAGGAATTTTTCCTCACTGCCAGATTGGCCAGGGTGCTGTGGATTTTTTCACCTTCCTCTAAGTAGCCTAGGATAAGTTAAGTTATAAAACTAATTCTGTTGATATTGGCAGGTGCTCAATGCAGATAGTGATGACAAGGGGATCTGGTTCCCTGATAAATTGGAATTGGAAGCAGATTAGCTTTAGTGTGTAGAAGCTGTGTGGTACTGAAGTCACGTGATATAGAGGAAGTCAAACTAGATAGTCGCTTTTGGCCTTCAACTGTGAGCCCATCTCCTAAAGAATGTGGGGAATGGGGGTCAAGGCACCCAATGGCAAATACAATGGGTACATAAATCCTCTCTTCACCACATACTTATCTCTCTTATGATAGAGAGTGATGGAGCCCCTGCCGTGGGTTGGGACCAAGTTAACAGGGTGAAATGAGTGGTGATAGTACTCCACTGCAGGGTATGGATTATTGAAGAAGGAAAGATGACTTATACTAAATGAGTAATTCCAAGATAGCCCTATGTGTATTACTTAATAAATTCACAGCCTAGTTAAGCAGTGTTCTTGATGTTTTATCTTGTCTTCCTGTCGTGTCCAATACAACAGTATGTACCAGGAGTGGCCAAACTATGGTTCTCTTGCATATACAGTGCAGCTTATGGAGTGTCCCATACTGTCCTCATTCTCTATCTTCCAGACTCAGGGGTGAGGGGGAAGGGGAGGAATGATGGAGGAGGAACTTGGGACCTCTATCTTGCTGCAGGGTAAAGGATAGGGACTTCTGCCCTATAGGATTGGGGATCTTGGGCCCTATAATACATGCCTGCTGAGGCTTGGGGCTGACGCCCAAGCCATGGAAAGTGTGCCTTGATTCTTGAACTAATCATAGAACTGGAACCTGAGGAGGTCATCAAGTCCAGTCCCCCTGCACTCTCATGGCAGGACCAAGTGCTATCTAGACTATCCCTGATAGTCATTTATCTAACTTGCTCTTAAAAATCACCAGTGATGGGATATTCCACAACTTCCCTTAGCAATTTATTCCAGTGATTAGCCACCTTATTAATTAAGAACTTAAACATCCTTTCCTACAATTTAAGCCCATTGCTTCCTGTCCTATCATCAGAGGTTAAGGAAAATAATTTTTCTCCCTCCTCGTAACAACTTTTTAGTACTTGAAAACTTTATCCCCTCTCAATCTTATCTTCTCTTTTCCAGACTAAACAAACCTGATTCTTTTAATTTTCTCTCTGTCATTTTTTCCTTTTCCTCTCATATGATCATTTTTGTTGCTCTTCTGTGGACTTTTTTTTCAATTTCTCCACATCTTTCTTGAAACATGGTGCCCTAAACTGGACATAAAACTTCAGTTAAGGTCTAATCAGTACAGAGTAGAGCAGAACAATTACTTCTCATGTCTTGCTTACAGCACTTCTGCTAATGCATCCCAGAATGTTTGCTTTTTTGCAACAATGTCATACTATTGACTAATATTTAATATGTGGTCCACTATGACCCCCTAGATTCTTTCTGCAGTACTCCTTTCTAGAGAGTCACTTCCCATTTTGTATACATGAAACTGATTGTTCTTTTCTAAGCGGAGTACTTTGCATTTGTCCTTTATTAAACTTCTTCCTATTTACCTCAGACCGTTTTTCCAGTTTGTCCAGATTATTTTAAATTATAATCCTGACCTCCAAAGCATTTGAAATCTTTCCCAGTTTGGTATTATCTGTAAACTTTATAAGAATACTGTTTATGCCCTTTTCTAAATCATTGATGAAGATATTGAACAGAACTAGACTCAGAACTGTTCCCTGTAGAGGAAGCTCATATGTTATGCACTTTCAGTATGACTGTAAACTAGAGGTGTGAATATTTAACCGGTGGGGAGTGAAGCAGCTCCCCACCTGTTGAAGGCAGGGGGCTGCTCAAGCCCTGCAGGGGGGGCCTGCTGCGGGGGGCAGAGAGGCTGCTCTAACCTGGCTGATGCAGCACTTGCCTGGAGTGGAGGGGCTGCTTCTCTGCCCCTCCTTTTATCAGCTAACCTTTACGTTTAACTGGTTAACTAATTAAACAGGATTTTATATTCCTACTGTGAACCGCTGATCACTGCACTATGGTTATCAAACCAGTTGCGAACCCACCTTATAGTAGCTATGTCTAGGTTGTATTTTCCTAGTATGTTAATGAGATAGTCATGCTAGACTGTATCAGATGCCTTACTAAAGTCTAGATGCTCTACATCTACCACTTCCCCCTTTTTCACAAGGCTTGTTTCTTCTTTGGGTGATGTTCACTTGGGTGCTTCGCGTCAGGTGTGGCGATGTCCCGGATCCTCAGAGCAGAGTTTTGTACTAGCAGTGCCTGCGAGCCACGCATGCACGAGGGGAGCTCGCACTGTCCCCTGATTATCACCTCGTATGTGCGGTTTGCCCCTCTCTTCAGTTCCTCTTCTCCCATCCCTGGTCGGAGTTCTTCAACCTCTTTAGCTTCTCCTCAGGGGGAGTGATAAACTGCCTTGGTTTCACTCTCCCTATTTCCTCTTGTCTGCCATCTCACTTGGCTTCATTTAAAAAAAAAAAAAATCCTGTCATTGCATAAGTACCGGCTTCAGTGGGCGGCCACCTGCAGGCTGCCGCTAATCTCGCTGCCGCCTCCTGTCAGCCACTCTCTCTCCCTCTTTTAAAAAAAAAAGGTGGGGGGGAGAGAGAAGAAGGAAAAAATAACAAACAAACCAAAATAAATAAAGCCACTGCTCAGACGTTAATGGCAGTAACGGTCACAGCAGCAGCTCCTGTAGAACAGTGGCGGAGAGCCGGCTAAAAGCTGTAATGCCTGGTTCCTCCGGTTTTAAAAAATGTCACTCATGCCAAGAGCCCATGCCAGTTTCTGACAGACATGTGGAGTGTATCGGCAGTCTTGGGGAGACACATGTCCCCTAGATACGTGAGCGCTGCTGCTCTCTCACTAGACAACGCATTGCAGCCTAAGTGCTCTCTGGACTCCTCACAACCGGCCAGGAAAAGGGCCGCCTCACCAGCACCAGTGGCATGGGCAAAAAGGGGATGATCCACAGCAAAGTCCCTGCCCCCAACACTGTCCCCCTGAGCGTTGGGAGCAGATAGGGAGAGCACCCCCCGCACCGGGGAACCAAGTACCAGGTGCGGTACCATGATTGCTAAGATGCGCTCAGCCTCAGTACTGGGAGGATCAGCCCCCGCACCGGACAGCATTTCCAGGCACCCATGAACACCAGTGCCAGCAGCAGCAACAGATCCGGCACCAATAATCATGCTGCTCCCAGCTACTCAGCCTGCTCGGAGGGAAAGGAGCACGGAGACGAGCTTGATCACCTCCAACTCCATGCTGCCCCCCAGGGAGGCTCCGGTGCAGCCTCAACAAGATGCAGGTGAAACTGACAGACCACAGCTCTCACATATATGCTCCGGATGGGCTTCCCCTATACACCCCTCCCCAGGGCTCTTCCAGCACTATGCAAGATCGCCTGTATTATCTGACTGAGATGCTATCAAGCGAGGGGACCATTGCAGTGTCTTCTCATCGCAACATTCATCCTCCACTACATCTCGCCATCCTTACTACTTTCAGGGTAGACCACTGTACCCACTCTGATATGCAGAGTATCTGTACCCCCTCCTTATTACCCACCTCACTGGGTGCCATGGGACCATTGGGGCATACGGAAGAGACCTTGTGCATTGCCCTCTGCCTCAGCAAGATTACCTCCACCCTCCCCATCTCAGACGGTATCATCAGCTGCAGATTCGGGTGAGGAAGACGAGAGCTAACTCTGACGAGCATGAATAATTGCAGCTGACTTCATCCCACGACAACACGTCCTCACAATCTCAGGAGGCACTAATAACAGACGAATCCCATCAGTCTGACGACGTGAAACAATTCCATAAGCTCTTCAAGAGTGTGGCAACAACACAGGACGTTCACTTCCAGGAAGTAGAGGAGAAACAGCACCGACTTTTAAAGAGTATACACCCCGCTACACAGAATAGGATAGCACTTCCCATTGACGAGGCAATAATGGAGGTCTCCGATGAAATCTGGCGAACCCCTGCCTCAATTCAACCAACGTGTAAGAAATCCGACAGGAAGTACTTTGTACCCCAGAAAGACCTGGACTTCCTTTTCTCGCATCCATCGCTGTGGCTAACTAGTGTGCAAAAATCCCTCATAACAAAACAGCATCTAGTGATAAAAAACACAAGAAGTTGGATCTATTTGGCAAGTAAGTCTACTCATCAGCCACCCTTCAACTACAGATAGCCAACTACATGGTTTTGCTAGCAAATCATGATTTTGACAACTATTCTAAGCTGGCCGAACTGATGGAACATCTCCCAGACTCCTAAAGGGCCATTCTCAGAGGTATTATACATGAAGGTCACACAATCACTCGTAGAGTTCTCCAATCCACAATAAGTGTAGTTGACACAGTGGCCAGGACGTGGTGATGAGAAGAGCTGCTTGGGTCCTTGCAGCCAAGATGCCTAAAGAGCTCCAGTCCAGGGTAGACGACCTCCCCTTTGACAAACTCAAGCTCTTTGCGTCAACAACTGATGAAGTCCTATGTAGTAGCAAGGACTCCCGCACCACCCTTCATACACTTGGAATGTATACCCTGCCCTATCGTCGGAGGCATTATACCCCAGACAGTAAGACCAGGGATAGCTACTATAATCGTGCCTAGCAGAGGCACTACGATTACAACCGCCCTAAACACTGCACTCAAAGGAGATGCTCACCTCCAACTCGCTCCTTGGGCTCTCAGGCAACAAAGCAGCAGGTTTGAGGGTGTGGTCGAGGGCCTACCCAACCTCCCATTTCCTCCTTTGCCAGCCAGCCAGTACCACCTTTTTTACCAGCAGGCTTCGTCCCTTTTACCAGTAATGAGACACCATAACAAAGGTTCAGCTGCCACCTTCATGGCCTTCCTCACTGACGTACCACTCAAAGACATCTACAGAGTAGCCACATGGTCCTCAAACCATGCCTTTGCTAGACATTATGCTGCAACTGGCTGCCGATTCAGCATTGGCGACGGCGGTGCTATTTACAGCCTCTAAACAGTGGCTCCGATTCTTACCATCCTGTTGGATACTGCTTGCCAGTCACCGGTCTTGGAGCACCCATGGGGACATCACCTGAAGAAGAAAAAGGGAGTTACTCACCTCATGTAGTAATGACTGTTCTTCGACGTGTGTCCCCGTGGGTGCTACCCGACCCTTCCTTTCTCCCCTCTACTCAAAGTCACAAATCACTCCAGTGGAGAAGAGGAACTGAAGGGCAGGGTGCGAGCCGCACGTGTAAGGTGACAATCAGGGAACAGCATGAGCTCCCCTCGCCCATGCACAGCTCGCGGGCACTGCTAGTAAAAAAACTCTGCTCTGAGGCTCCAGGACATTGCCACAACTGATGTGGAGCACTCACAGACGCACGCACCTCGAAGAATAGTTGTCACTGCGTGTGGTAACTCCCTTTTTCCTGGTCAAAGAAAACTATCAGGTTGGTTTGACATGATTTATTCCTTATAAATCCATGCTGATTGTTACTTATTACCCTACAAGAGGATTTACCTAGTATTGTTAAGTCCTTAACTCAAATTTTATTTTTTTTTTAAATAAAATGAAAATGGTATTTGCTTCATTGAAATTGCTCTGGGCTGGGGATGAGGGGTTCAGCATATATGCTGTCCCGTGGGGAGAGAACTACTCCAGCCCTTTCTGAGCACAGCAGCTTGGGTCCAGGTGAGAAGCACCTCTCCATGGCTTCTGCAATTCCATCGGGCACAGCCAAGGCATGGGTGCATGTCCACCAGCTGGGGCAGGCTCAGGTTTCTCTGCCCCCTGCACTCCCCAGTCAGAGTGAGGAACGCAGCAAACTGTGCACTTTTCACTTGCTCCCTGACAAAGGGGAACAACTAGAAATTTCCCCATACGAATTGTGGGGGAGGAGATCTTCCCATTAGAAGGTCCTCGACAGTCCATTTGTAATGTCTTGGATATGGGCCCCAGGCAGGCAACATACCTCCTGAAATATCAAGGTGACAGATAGGTGTCTCTGTCCCTCTCAGAAGAGAGTCTCCAACGATCACTAACCCAAGTTTCCTCCTGGGAGTGGTGGTTACAGAACTATCAGCTTTGGGAGTACATGGCTTCTCCATGATTCCTCATCTCTTGTTGCCAGGGCAGTGGGCAGCATAATGATTTTTTCATCACCATGGCCAGTATGTTGGGAGTAGGGTTGGAGCACTACCATTAACCAGCTGCTTGTATCCTCCTGGTGAAGGAGCCATCTACTCCCCTGGTGGTGTGACAGCAGTCCAGTGTGGCTGGATAAAGATTGTTATTTGTGGCTCAGAGGACCAATATGTTTGGCGACCCCTGGTATATACCCTCAACTTCTCTACCTCAAAGTATACAGCTTGCCTCTTGAACAACCATCATATACCACATACAACACCTCATAATCTCACCTTTTCCCCAGTAGGGATGAAAAATCAGTTATTCATGTTTGGAGAAAGATCTGGTCAAATGAAGAATATTTGTTTTGAGATCCTCTGGCAATTTTTGTGTTTTTAGTATAATTTTCCTGTTTCTTTTCTTTCCTAAAGTTATAGGAAAAACCTAACAAACCACAGGTGAAACTTATTGTACGGGGAAAATACGAAACAACTATGGACAACCTGTAAAGTGTGTGTTTACCTAATCTTTTGTTTATAATAATCATATGTAAAATAGAGATGTTAAAGGTTAACCAGTAAGCATATGCCTTACCAACATGCTTATCTGTTGACCCCATAGTGGGAGTGTGGCTGGCAGGACCTTCAGCCACAGCGGGCAGCAGGGTCCGGAGCAGCTCCACTGCCTGCAGTAGGGCCGGGCAGGAGCAGTTTAACCAGTTAACTATTTTGGGCTGTTTTACATCCCTAAAGTATAACAATATTAGCTGAAAATGGATTAATGTAATTTTTAATTTTTCTGTTTCCCTATAAGTAACAGTAGATGTCATTATCAGCATTAGGTATTATATTGTAAAGGATAATTGCTCATGTTTGAGCCCTCATTAAAGTGGAGATAATATGAAGAAATTTTTGTGTGTGTAAAATATATATACACTGGGCATAGTTTTGAAAGATTGTTTGATATACAAGATGGAGTTATCTGAATTTACATTTATTTAAACTATAATCATTTCACAGTACAGATTTTCAGGCAAGTTGGCCGCTATAAAAGAAGAAAAAATAAATATTCATGAAGCTGAAAAAAGGTATGTGTGGTGACATACCTTTGAGTAATGTATTCTATTTTTTCTTGAGTAATGTATGCTAATGATAAAGTGAAAGGCAACTTTCTTTTTATCAAATCTCATCAGCTTGGTTTTACTTTTTTTTTTTTTTCCTTCTTACACTTGCTTCACAACTCTGTAGAAAATTAAACTGATACTTCAAGCTCTGTACACATATTAAGTTGTATCAGGGTTGTAATGAAGTTGCTGTTCATGCTATTATAGTGGACAGAATTTTGTTTTGAGTTGATTTATTTTGTCAGTATATCAGGAAGGATGTGTCTAAACAGCACCCTACACTAGAAATAAGATACTCAATTTGCACTATGCAAATTTGCGCATCTTATTTAGAAACTATTTTGCAATAACTTATTTTGAAATTTGGCAGTCTACACAGTGTCAAATTTCAAAATAACACGCTATTTTGAGCTATCCCTTATCCCTCGTGCAACAAGGCTTATTGGGATAGCAAAATAGCGCACCCATTATTTAAAAAAATATTTCAAAATAACAGGCAGCTTGTGTAGATGTGAGTAGCTATTTTGGGATACCTCCGGTATCTCGAAATAGCCGTGCAGTGTCGACATGCCCTTAGTGTCTTATCTATTCAGGCATCTCGATATGAATGCATATGTTGAGTATGGATGATCAGTTTTGAGGTCGTGAACTACAAAGTAATAGTATTAGCTATATTTGGATTTGGTCTCTTCTAGAACTAAATAATTTGACTAAATTAAATTAATCCAGGAATATAATTGGCTATGGTAAGAGTTTGTTACAATTGCTTAAGTGCATATACTGGATGTGCTAGTTTTTTACTAGAATATGGCAAGGTGAAATCCTAGCAACTTTATAGGAAACATTCTTTCATGTTTATTATGATACTGATTTATCTCCATAATAGCTTGTTTGGAATTGCAAGACGAATTTTGTGTCTAGGCACTTCAGAATAAAAGATAGAGGGGATGTCTAAATTGAAAATTAAGACATTTTCAAACTGAAGGAGCGTTTTTGAGAAACTAAGTTGTAGCCTAGTTCTTCCAAAAACAGATAAAATATTTAAGTGCTGTAATACTCATGACTATAAAAAGTCATAGTTGATAACTGCGATCAGCATGAGGATTGCGAGAATAGAGGTACAAATCTTTCCATTCTGTAGTATCCCCGGTTTTAGAAGTATTGGACATTGGAGTGATAGAGATGGTATTCTTACTAGTTTCCTAACCTAGTGTTCAGATACATTGTATGCCTCATACTACAAATATTTTTTCCATTGAAAACAGTTGTCTAGGCTATGATAAAATTTATTGTGGATACTTACAAAATCCACGGATATTTGATCAGTGGGATACTTTTGAAGTAATATCTGCCAGTCAAAAAATGGTGCTCAAAGATTATCTAAGCAGTCACTGAGAGAAAATAAATCAGTTTCCACTTCTGCTGTTTAGAACTGTGCATCAGAGAAAGAATTGCATCAATATCTGTCAGTTCTAGGATAGAAATTCATTGATCTGTAGCAGTTTGTGCAGCCTGCCTCTATATAGTGTGCCTGTGAGTTAGCAAAACATTTAAGCACAAACTTAAATTCAGGTATGTCCAGTTGAAATCACTGGAACTTAAGCATGTGCTTAAGCTGAAAGGGCAAGAGAACTTTTGAAAAATACATATATCCAATGCAGTGTCCAGGAAACTGTAGGAAAGGTAGAGTAACTGATGTTTCAGAGTCACTCACTCAGCAGCTAGGAGACTATGGAATGCAGAAAAGAGAGCAATGGGGCTATGGTTATACTATTTACAACAGGAAACTGGTACAGTAAAATGCAGTAATGGTATAGTTCTTTTAGCATGGTGTATAGTTCTTAGACTATTCTGGGCACAAATGTGTTTGCATCTGATATTTAGTCTATTTATAAAATACTGCAAGTAATAAAATCTCATTAATTTAGCTTGTTTCGCCTAATATAGCATTAGAATAAAGGTTTATTCCTTTACTTTAAACACAACATTTTGTAGAGCAAAGAACAAACAGCTCTCACTCACTATCTTAGAACTCAGTTTGTGTGATAGCTAAATTATTTTACACAGCTGAGCTGAAACAAAAAATGATTTAGTGACAATCTACTTACAGCATAGGAGCAAAAAAAAGGTTGATTTAGATGGACTTATGAACCAGTGTAATTTACCATCATGACAAATCAAAGATTGTGAACAAATTTAGAATAGTGATAGCCTGGAAAAGGTAAGCTAAAGGACAGAGAAATAATTAAGTAAAACAAACTTTTCCAACAAGAATGAACTAAAATTATGATGTACTGCTCTTAACAAGATACATGCACAAATATCCAATATACCAACAATGCATGTTTGCGCAAACTGGAATAGAGTCTGGGGGATACATTTACTTTTCTCCTCCATTTAACAAATACACTTTCTCTGTGCTAAGGTTTGCAGATCTGTTACAATGCGTACTTCAACCTTCTTGCAGTTTGGAGACAGAACCAGTCCTATCAGTCACTAGCAGTATAGGAATGCTCCTTCTTTTGAAGTTCTCTCTAGTTTTACCTGTATCCATAGCAGTTGGCAGCTCAGACATCTCCTATTGTAAAAATTTCCGGAGGAAAATTCCAAACTTTATTTCAAATTTTTAGACTAACGGTTTGTTTCAGTAACTCCTCTATGGCTGAGGAATGCACTTGATTTTTGGGGCAATTGTTTCATTTCCCTTTTGAGGCATTTGTGGAAGCTGGCTGCAGGCTTTAGGGTCAGAACTAGGCCAAAAAAAGAAGTCTGTCTCCTGCTCTGCATTGGGGATATTGGCTGGCTCTGTGGTCAGAGGTAGTTTCCCTTATAGCCCACTCTGGGTGCTGTGACTTCAGCTCTCCTTCCCTGGGGAAGTAGGGAATAACCTGTCAGGATTGGAGAGTCTGGCTCTTCTGAACAAGAAGCAGTCAAGACTGGGCAAAGCTGTCTTGGTTCCCTTCTCTCTAGCAGGAAAGGAGAACAGCAGGATTGGAAAAGAACTGGCTTTTGGACAAGCAAACTCCACTCTCTTCATCTTCATGAGGGGACTGGAGTCAGAAGGGCAACATGACAAATGAAAGACTGTGCCCAAAGTCCCTATAGTCCACACCAGCCACCACTCCTCCAACTGTGGAGCTCAGCCACCTCCTGCTCCAACCTCTCCCTCCACTTCCCTACAGGTTGTGGATGGAAGACACCAGAGACACCATGGATACCAGCAACACTGGAGAGTGTGGTAAGGAGGCCTTTGGGCCTAGCCTTCTCCCTCTGCTGCCATATTTGTAATAGTGGTATCTGCTCCTCCCTCCCCCACACCCAAGAGGATTCCCAACTCATATCCCCGGCTGAGAACACCAGGCAAATCAGAGTTGTTAGGACATTGTAGATCCCATGCAGTGTAGAGGGTCATAGCATCTGGGAAGTCCATATTTGAGCCTCAAATCAGTGCTTTTCTTGACAGACCCTATACATGTTGGAGGATGTTGTGTTAATTTAGATTAATAAATAGATTAAGTACAGGCCCGAAAAGTGACCTGTAACTGCCCAATGGTAAATTGTTTGAAATGAGGTTTGGAGTTTAATGAACCAACCTCAGCCTGCTTAGTACTATGGCAAACATCATTCAACATCTTTTAAATCCTTTATTAAAAATACATATAATCAAGGGGAAACAGTTAAAACAACTTTAAATATAAAGTAGTAAATACGTTTTTCATTTTAACAATATCCCCTATTTCCTTTTCTTTTAGCTGTAGAGAAATTTTAGCAGGAAAGTCCTTTTATTTTAACAGTTTTTTAAATGGTAATAGCTGTCCTTTTTGAGAAAGAGAGAAGTTAGTTAAGATGGACTGGAGTTGTTTGAAATCTGGGCCTATTTTCTAGAAGAAAATAGACAAACATGCAGTAGGGGAAAGAAAAGTCAGCAGAGATACAAAATGCAGCTTGTGTGTCATTGATTCACTTGCATCCATACTGCTAGAGAAACACAGGCACAACACTCTGTCTTAACAGCCACTCTGACAGCTGGCAAACTTGTACCAGCATTCATCTGTTTAGAGCAGGGGTTAGAATCCATGTATATTTTACCAGGGACTTCACCCTCAAGTGAAAAGGAGGAGGAAAAAAACCCTCACAGATGTGGCCCCAAACAGAGAAGCAGGGGAAAAAAACACTTCATTCAAGTTCCAGCCCCCTGGGTTAAGGGGGAGGTGCCGAGGCTCAGTTCTTACACCCAGGGTTGGATTAACTTTTCTGGGGGCCTGCAGCTAGTAGATTTTGTGGGGGCTCCTAGGCTCTAGGGTGGTGCCAAAAATGAGGAGCTCAGTGTATGTAGATGGCTGCTGGGGAGTGGACTGGGGATGGGAGTGGGGAGGGAGGGAAGAAGGTTGGGTGAAGGAGTGGGGTGAGATGTGGGGTCTGGGCAGGAGCAGGGTGTAGGAGTGGGCTGGGGATGAGATTGTGGGGATGGGGGAGCAGGATGAGGAAGCAGGGTCTGGGCAGGAGGAGGCAGGGAATGGGGTGCCTACCTGGTGCAGGTCCTGTGGCAGTATAGGTGGTTCTGCATGGATATGCATGTTGCTAGGAAGCACTTCCTGCAGGCATTGCCCCCCTCTGGTTTTCCCAGCCAATGGGAGTGACAGAGGGGCAGTGCCTTCAAGGAGTGCTTCCCTGTAATGTGAAGAGCTGCTTCCTCCCCCCGGCCAGGCTTGCCTTAATCGGGCCCATGAGGTTCACTGGCTCTCCACTGTGGGAGTGGGGGAAATCCTGAGCCTCACAAGCCATATCAAGGCAAGACATGGGCCATATGTTCCACACCCAGAATTAGGATATTGCTTCAAGTTGCTACTTTGGTCACAGGCTTATAGCAGCATTGCAAAGTATGAAGTCATGGCTCTCTAAGTCAGACTCTTATTAGATGGAAGGAAAAAGAGAGGAGCAGGAGAAGAGCAGAAATAAAGTGA